TACTTATTTTTTAGACTGATTTGCGCAGGCGTTTGTGTCAAAATAGCGCAAACTATAATACTGCATGAACGTATTGGCCGACCAATAACTCTCTAGTAACATTTGCAAAACCGTAAAAAAATCGCCCACTTTAAGGTATCAAGCGCAGAAGAAGTTTTTCATTGAATATTGAAAAACGATTTTTCCGGTGGCTTTTGTGGACTTCGCCCACAGTTTGGCGGCAGGCGGCCCAGTGACAAGTGCGCGCCCCCACCCCACCGCCCAAACAGAGCCGATCCCCATTTCCACCCCTCGGCGGCGGCAACTATTCCCTATTCCCCACCCTCCGGCCCCGACGGACAACTTTTTGTGTTCTGTATATCCTAAAGGGGATGGATCGAAACGGGTTCCATTAAAGCGATAGCCTGCTCCACCAGCCGAGGCTCTATTTTGCTCATAGAGCGGCAGCGGCGGCAACGGATTTCCGCCCGATTGTTTAATCTTTCCTTGTAGTTTCCGATGCTTATTTTCTAGTACCGTGTATTCGCTGGTTTCATTTGCTTTCGAACTGGAAGGAGCTTTGCCAGATCCAAAAATATTGGCAAAACTAGACTAAATATTGCAGAGAAATTGCTAGCTTTTTTCCCAAAATTCCTTAACAAAAACTCCTACTAGCCCACATTCGCTTGATCCTTCGCACCTGCTCTCTCTCTTGCCCATGCACAATTACTTAACGCTGTTGCATTTCTTCAATTTCAAAACTAATATACAGCGTGACGCAACGCGAATTTTAACACATTTCCATGAACCCAATTGCATAACATTTTGTATGATGTGGGCATGGAAAATAAACTCACTTTTTTGCGCTGAGCGCTCAATGAGGAAAAAAGTTCGAACAATGGCGATCATGGGGTTTTTCCTCTATCGGAGTGTTTCATTATTATTAATAAAAGAGGAAAATGCCCAGAGTAATGAAACATCGACATGCAGGTGCTTTGCGTGTTCTTCAACATGCCTTTGACTACTACCCGACAGGCTGCCACTATATACCGGGAGCTCCAGAGGCAGTTTTTGCATAGGCACTTTTCTTCGGACATTTCAGGAAAAAAACTACTAAAAAAATTCAAATTAAATGATTATTTTATCCGAATAGTGTTAACTTAACACACCTTAAGCCTGCTAAAAAGTGGGGTTTAATAAAAAAAAACACCGGACAAAATGTGAGCTTTCAATCGGAAAGTCCATGGAACGAAATTGGCATTTCTGCAATCAACCCACATTGGCACTGTCCTTCTCTAGCGCGCGCACTCACACTTGCGTTGACTTACAGGGGGAGTTCGAAACTTACTCAAGAATCAAATTGCGATAGAACTCTTTTTTGAGGGCTGCTAGCAAAAAAAAACCTCAGTGTTTTAGGGACTTTTTCAAAAACTTGACGGGGATACAAAATTGACTAAAAACGG